GAGCTTAAACTTTTTTTTTCTTTGCATCCAGCTGGTTAAATTAGCCCCTGTAGTTTGAAATGATATGTTAATTGCTTTTTGACTAATGCATTTATTTTACTTCTGTTGTTGCTCATGATTACTACTGAAGTATTTTTTTAGAGAGACGGCTAGTTTGCATTTGTTTGTTCAGCAACAATCCTTGAAATTAATATATTAAAAAAGAAACACACACAAACAAAAAAGCACAGTGTTTTGAAAAGCACTTTCTGAGCCCCTGTTGAGTTTGAATACAGGAATTTCCATTGTTTTTCATGACATTTTAAAATATTTTCAGGACTTTTTCCAGTCCTGTAAATCAGTTTTCAAATTCTCTGATAAACAGAGACAACAGCAAGTGAAAATGCACTGTAGTTTGTTACACTGAAATATCAAGCCATAATAATGCTTAAACTTACCAGTCAGATGGCACCCGCACAAACAGAACAAAACAAGCATGTGAAACATGTTCTTTACCCGTTCAGTGTCTGATCTAAAATGACTATTGACTGATCTGCTATGAGTCCCCCCACCACTTAGTTTGACCCTCGTATAGCTCACACAACTGAAACACATGCCATATGTCCTAAAGTTACATCCAAATAATCTTCTGGCTCTAATTAAGACTTTACCTGTTATGATCATTTAACACTGATCATTTTGTTGAACTTTCAGAATGTTGTTAATCTCTATGAATTACATGGTTAAAAAATAAAAAAAACGTGATTTTAAAATGGTTGTACCACTTGGTTTTTACCACAACAATGGTTTTATAATTCAACTGAAATACCCATATATCAATAATTGTGTTAATGGATTAAAAAAAACAGAAAAGTTAAAATCGTCTACCATCTCACATTGCCAGTGGTACTAAGGTGTAACTCTAGCAGCTCATCTGAATCAAATTGAAACCTTCTGCGGTCAGTTTTCTTCAGAAATGTGGTTTGATCTGCAAGGTGGACATTTGTTTGATCTGTGTTCAGTTTGTAGGTGAAGAGTTTCTTGCTGACTTCCTGTCTAGATAAAACGGCTTTACAGTTAAATAAAGTACTGAATCAATCCATCAAAACAGTCAACAGTCAGTTCTGTTCATTTATTTATTTTTTATGAATATTTGTTAAAAATAATATTTCTATAGCCCGAAAGAGAGTCGCCTCACTGCAAAGCCAATGCAGCACCCTAAACCTACCCATAACCCTATCACTAAACATACCTGTGCAGGACTGAATTGATTTAGATTTTTCATTGAATTTATTATTTTGTATATGTCTACTCAAGTGAGGACTTTGATTTTGAAAAGCAGTCACAGACACACTGTTAGTTCAGCAAGTAGTACCGCAGTGAGTCAGCTGAATGTTGTAACTGCTCTGTGTGAGGCTCATTCTGAATTAGGGCTGCCCTCGACTAAGGATTTTTCTGGTCGACTATTAGTCGTTAATTTGAAGCATTAGTCGGATAATTGCACCTTTATTAATAAACCATTTAAATCATTATAATGAGCCTTTAATTGCATACATAGCCTAATATGCGCTCAAGTACATGCATAAAGCTTGCCACAGCGCACCGGCAGAAGTAATGATTATGAATGTGTTACTGTGAAAAACAGATAAGGAGGCTGCATTAACATTTTAATAATTTGATAAACTAGTGCTTTCTTTGTTTTCGGATTAAGAGATGAAGTCGGCGACACTGGCTCCGCAGTAGTAGACACACCTGTATTCATGTTTCATATGGATTACGTAATCTGAGAATTTGTTTTCTTTTTGAATTGGTTCATTTGAAAGTAGACATTTCACTCTCTCTAGATATATTTTAGATGTCTCTAAGGCAAAGATAGCCTGTACACAGAGTTTCGCACTCAAGTTCACAGAGACCGAGACGGCAGAAAGCGCATCATGTTTGCTTTCATTATTTTACAAAAGCGCAATGTTTTGTTGTTATTGTGAGTGCACACAAATAAACGTAGAGTCTTTACAGATTTGAAAGATGTACTCTTATCTGTATGACCAAGAATGAGGGATTATTTTAAGAGCAAGTAAACGCACCGACACCGGCGCCTCCATCAGTCCTGCAGTGAGCTACTGTTCAGTTTCCACACAGACACTTGAATAGCGGGCATTTCTCTAGGTTAACATTAGATTGAGCAGCCATGTAAAGTTGCTAATACTTACATATTTCAGGTGATAAGTCATATTTGAGAGGTCAATGAATGATAAGCGAGCGTTTGGATGTCCTGCCCGTCGATGTACAGTTACCATAGACTAGCCGTTAACGATCTGTCCGTCACGGACTGCATGACTTCTCTCATGGATTCTTTTTCTTTCTGCGACTAATCGACTAATACAATTTTGATCGACCAAGCCTCTTCTGATCGACTAACGATTAGTCGACTATTAGGGGGCAGCCCTATTCTGAAATATCATCTTTCTTTGCCTCTGTTAGACGCAATGTCTGTGAGTACACAATGTTGAACATATTGTGTGATAAATGTAAGAATGTGATTTTGATATAATTATTATGATATATATTTTTTTCTTAGTTTAATTGCCTTTACTATATTGTCAATTAATAATATTTGGTAATTATGTTTTTTGTATATTTTTACAGTTTCACAGTTGAGTCATAAGCTTCAGAAACGACTCGATGTCTCCAGCGAAGTTTTTTGAGTCACTGTTTAACTTACTGGATAGTTCGATGCCAGAGAAGTCTAATAAGGCCAGTAAATCCAGCTCCACTCATTACGTCCAGAGAGGGGAAACTGAATGTCATTCAGCTCGGCAATGAGCACCATTAAATAAAAAAATATGTTCATATTGCAGGGAAAGTTTGTACAGTACACTAAATGATCTGACTTTGGGGTTTTGAAAATAAGGTTAAGCTATGGTAGTAAATTTTGTTCATATCTCTGCTGATAATTGTGCTTTTTCCTGTTTGTGTCCCACAGGGAGGCAGTTATCCCATGAAAAAGTAATGAGTCCAGAAATTCTCAGACAATAGAAATGGAGGCTGAACCTGCAGATCGTGGATGGCAGTGATGTGGATGATGGAGCATCTACCCAGAAAAGGTTATATATTTTATTGAAACCAAAACTAGCATCTACAATATACATGTGAACAAATCAACTGCCCTTTTTATTTATTTATTTATTTATTTTCTCCAGGCCAAAATAATGCCCTCATTAGTTATGAATGTAATTTCTATTTTTGTCATTTCTATTTATTTCATTGATGCTAAATAGCAAATGGAATTGTTGTGAACTCTGTCAATGAGCACTTGGGTTACTATAGTATAATTCTTCATGTCTGTATGGAGGCATATTATTTGCATGGGCTTTGTTGTTGTTCTGCCTTGTCCTTAAGAAGGTGGAGCTCAGATCAAGTGATTTCTGGGAATATTTTACAGTTACAACTTATAAATATTACTTAAATATTAGTATTCTGCAGTCTTTTATATAATCTTTATCTTTATCAACTATGTTTTGATACTCAATATATTTGTAGTGTTGGATCGCAAAACTTAAGCAGATTACAGATATATTTTAACAGCATGTCGACTAAAATCTAGTTTACTTTACTGTACCACCCAACACTATCAAAGTTAAAAAGTTGCTTTTAAATGTTGAGCACTTCCTGAAATACATATAGGGTTCAGACAATTAGATTTTTAATATGATATGTTTAATATGTTTGGGCTTAGTTAATCAATTTATTTTAATTATATTATAAAAACCTAACTTTTACTGATTTCTTTCAGAGGCAGTGATCCAGAAATGTCTTCACCAGGGGCCTATTGGAGATGGCAATAAACCAAAAACTAGCCAAGCTGTGGGAATACAACACTGTTGATCTTTAGCTGAACCACGACGACTGGTTGATGTTCTGTTTCTTACGCCTCTTCAGTGCTTTGATCAGTTATATATGCCTTTTTTATCTCTCTTTTTTTTTTTTAATTGTGCAGCTCGACAAGATTTTTTTTTCTATTCAATTAAAGTCTGTTTAAATAAAGATGTGTTACTTTTTCTAGCTTATTGTACCATTTAACATTTAAGGCTGAAGGCATGAAATGTGCAATGCACTGCAACTTTGTAGATACATGTGCCTAAAACCTGTATTAAAAGATCATTTTAAAGAGCAGGTATTAAAAGATAAAATATATGAAACCATTATGACATATATAAGTGACACATGTCACATATATGTCTAATTTGTATAAAACACACAATTAAAAAGACATATATCTCACATACATTAATAATTAAATGCATTCCATATATGGCAATACATGTATTATGCATACACAAACACATTTTTGTATGGGGTAGACTTATATGTCAATATATGAAATTGTTCCATTTTCTAATAGGGTTCATATATGGATTGGGCAAATATAAAACATGTAGGCTATTTAATATATATACAGTATATTTGATATATGCACATATATTACATTTCCGTATGGGTGGCAACAAATAGCAACCTATCTATAATAGTTAGCAACATTATGAAATGTTTATATTAATTTGTGAGAAATACTCTATTTGATTCTCAGCTTAGAGAACCACAACATTCAACGGCACCATCTTAGAGCTCCTAAAGTGGTCAGTTATGAGCATCATATCAAAACCTCACAGCAGTTTAAACTTGTCTGAACACAGGAGATGTGTTTATGGACTACACTGATTCATACTCGCATTGATCAATTAAATGTTCAAAATAATTAATTATTGGCAGATAATTAGAAAAATAATTGCTAAAAAAAAGTGTTTGGAATTAATTGCAGTCTACATGCTGTCATTTTGTGTTTTATATATCTGCATATAAATCTGCAAAACATGATTTAACCCATAAGAACCCGCGGTGTCACAAACACTGGTGATTATCTGGAAATGTAGTTATTAATACATTCATTATATTGTTATTAATCAATTTATGGCATCAACATCTGATTATTTGTTACTAAATGTTCTTATTACGCACAGGGGCCCCTGTTAGTGAACCACACAGGGATTTTTATATTTTTTCTTTTTCTTGGTGCCAGCTTTCCCTTCTTGAGTTTTCTGTTCTTCAGAATTGATCTCTGTAAATTCTCTGTACTGCCTCATGAGCTCTTCCATCTTCTGCTTTAATTCCTCAATGTTCTGAAGCAGAAGTTTCTCTTTCTCTGTGTCTGTCTTCCCTTCATTAGTTTGTGGCGAGTCCATGTTTTCTTCCTCTTTTATGGAGTCAGTCTGCTCTCCTGGTTTCATGAAGGTATTGTCTCCTTGATCTGTGATGGTATATTTGAGTTTTTCTCTTTTCTCTTTCCCACATGCTGCTTCAGATTCTTTCATCCTCCTTTCACTTTTTTGCCCCCATTTTCTTGCACTTTTTCTTAATTCTCCAAACCGTTTAAAAGTTTGGTTATGTTGCTTTTTCTCTCGATCAGATTCTCTTGCTGTTACTTCTTGTTCTGTTTCTGTTCTTTTTCTATCCATATCTGTTGTTTCCAAAAGCTGACTTTTCTGCTCTTTCTCATCATTTTTCCTCTCTTTCTCAAAATGGGATTTCTTTTTCTCATATGTTTGTTCTGTATCTGTTGTCATTATTTCTGCCTTATATTTTCTCAACATTGTGCTCTGCGCTGTCTCCATGAACAGAAGATCTCTAACCTTCAGTTTAGCTTTTTCCATCTCTAGTTTGTCTTGAATTTCTTGAATTTCAGACTCGTATTTGACTTTAATAGCCTTCATTTCTCGTCTGACCTCCACCTCTCTTTCCAGAAACACCTCCTGAATCATTTTGTCATTGTAGAAACTGGGGTTATTACTCCACATCATCTTACTGATTTTGTTTAACAGACTCACAACCTGACCAGGATCTTTCTGTTTATTATTGAACACATGAAATCTTCCTCCACAGTCATGGATCAGTTGTTGGACTTGTTGATCTTCTTTAATGCAGTCTTCAATACTTTGATCTGCGAGATTTTCTCCTCGTGTGAACAGCACCATAGTGTAGGCCTCTGCTTTCTGTCCAAAGGTCCTCTTGATGAGTTGAACGGTTTCTCTCTCTTCTTGTGTGATTGGGCCGACAGCGATGACCAGCAGAAACACGTGCGGCCCAGGAGCCGAGAGTTCAATGCATCTCATGATCTCCTGCTGGATCTTTTCATTACTGAGGCTTGTGTCGAAGAGTCCTGGTGTGTCCACCACAGTCATGGGTCGACCACAGACCACACCACTCTCTCTTTGGCACATCTTGGTCACAGACTTCATTGCAGCCCTTGATTGAAACATGCTGCGTCCCAGGATGGTGTTACCTGTTGCACTTTTTCCTACGCCAGTTTTTCCAATCAGGACGATCCTCACACACTCCAAGTCTTTTATATTACGAGTGGCTGTGAATCACCAACATGAATGTGCTCAGTATTGCATGCAATCAAAATAACAATTAAAATATCAATATTAGATCAAAGAAAGTTTTTTTGTTGACAATATATAGCTCAAGGATGTCATTTCAGCATCACACCAACATCAAATGAAATTGCAGAAATAATGGCTATTTTTAATACTCCCTGAATACTTGCCTGTATTCTTTGCCTGAATACTCCCCATGTTTTTTACTGGTCAGTAAAACAGATAGTCCCACCACCAAACTCATGTGATTGGTTGAGTCAGAAGCTGACTTGTCAGACCACTCAATCAAACAGATCAGTGTTTAAAGTGTCACTGAGGGGCCATTTACATGACATCATTTTCAACTAAAAATGAAAAGATTTTATGCTTTGGCTGATCATTTACATGACAATGGCATTTTGGGGGTCTAAAACACAGACTTTTGAAAACAGGTTTGAACAAACAATACCGTTATCACAAACAAAATTAATGATTATGAACTGGACATTGGCCAGCGACAGCATGTTTAAATACATAACCTGAGACCATAGAGGACACTATGAGGGACAAATGCCCACTCCATCATGCTGAAGGGATGAGTGCCTTATTGGCTGGCATAGAAGTCAAAGTCTTCAAAGGAGTCCCCATCTCTAGGGTACGCACCAGCATCTGCTGTGACTTGATTCCCTTCAGCCAAAGCCCAAGCTGTATACCCTCATAGAAAGGCGCTTGAACCCTGTCCTTCCTTCTCTGCAGTTCTGAGTCAAAAAAGAAGCTCAGCCCACAGGCAGAGCTCAAGGGCCTGGTAATTCAGAGAATACCTTTAAGGGAATATTGTCACAGAATGGAGCTCTTGAGAACGTTCCGTTTTAAGCAGTGGCAAAAGAGGCTTACAAAGAGCCCCTAACTGAGCTCAGTGACTCTCTAAATCGAGAGGAGGCCAAATTAGATCCTATGATTAGGACAGCTAAGGAGGCACACAGAAAGTATACCCTTGAGCCCTTGGGAGCAAAGACCACAACATTAATTTTTTTTAGCGAAAATTAGCCTAATGATGTGCCTACTCAAAATCAGTAGTCAAGGACTTGGCACTTACTGCTTGCTCCGGGGATGTAGGCAGAAGTACCGACTCGGTGTTTACAAGTCAAACTCCAACTTCAAATTCGTCCGACATCGTTGTTTTACCTACACTGCGTTACACTACGTACACAGTGTTTTTTAATTACTTATTTTTTTGTAAAAGGCATTTGACATAGTCTTTGCACGTTCGACTTGTAAACACTGAGTCGATACTTCTGACGTGAAGTCGTGGAGGCACATCGCAGAGCTAGTGCAAGACGAGCATACAGTATGTGTTTATAAAGCATGTACATTTTCATTTTGTTTTAGAAAATGACCTGATTGTTTCACTAGATAAGACCCTTATTCCTCGTCTGGTACCGTGTAGAGCCCTTTGAAGCTGCACTGAAACTGCAATTTGGACCTTCAGCTGTTTGGTAACTGTTGAAGTCCACTATATGGACAAAAATCCTGGGATGTTTTTCCTCAAAAACCTTAATTTCTTTTAGACTGAAGAAAGACAGACATCTTGGATAACACGAGGCTGAGTAAATTATCAGGAAATTTTCATTTGAAAGTGAACTAATCCTTTAACACCACTGCTAGGCTGAGATCAAAAGACGGAGCCCTCAGGTATCACAGTCCTGACAGAGCTCTGCCTCACTTCCTCGCCTCACCTCACCTGACAACATATTCCGTCAGTCTGCTGCACCAAAACATCAGAAGGCATATCTTAACTCTTTCCCCGCCAGTGTTTTTGAAAAAAGTGGCCAGGCACCACCAGCATTTTTTATAATTTTTTCCTAAAATGTCATGGCCTCCAGAATATTTTATTGTATGAATATCTGCAATGCATCATGCAATACATCAAAATAAAGAGCAGAGCCTCTACTTTTAAATATAAAAGTAGCTGTTTAACTCTAGCTTCAAGCATTCTTTTTGATCAACACTTGAATATAGGTAAGTTTAATAAAAAAGCAACATGTTGATCAAAAGGCTGAGAAAATCGCATTTTTATCAAACATCGACATCTGGATCATATTCAGTAGGTTGGTCAAAGCATAGATGCAATAGATCGCTTCCATCAACACCCCCAAAGCTTCACAGTCCTCTTCCGGGATCGCCATTTCACTTGGTAACATTAGGCAGTTTTCAATTACTGTATATGCCGTTTATTATTGATGATTGCATTCTTTTTCATATGCATCTGCTTACATATGAGACTGCTTGTTTCTGTGTCTTCCTAGTCTGTGTTTTTGATCGGGAGATTGTAGACTCTTTCAGGAGATGTGTAATAGCGCTCCCGATTGTATAACAGTGAAAACACAGAAACCCGGAAAATTAACATAAATAAAAAGAGTTGACTTAAATAAAATACTGCCAATGCATCATAGTTTCAGCCCCAGGATCTGATGTAAACAGTCTGTGGACACTCTCTGTCTGCTGTCTTTAACACACATTACCTGACTTTGGGGATGTTATTTAGCCTCTGAGACCCTGAAATGCTGAGTGCATTAATTCTGGCTGACTTTCCTGAAGTCTTGTCTCCTCCCTGTGGCGTCACGTTTCCTCTGCACTCTGCCCCTCACAGTAGGGGAAGCATGAGAGACTGGCCCTGGTCCAGGTCTTTCAGCAAGTCAGCCTGGTAGGCCTGCAGCACAGCTATTGTGTGCAGAGCCACCTGACCACTGCTGTGTACGCTTTGCCATTTAAATGTTCTGTCACATGAAGCAGTTTTGTTGGCAGAAAGGGTGCCATGTCAATGCTGCTCCCATTGAGAGATGGCTGGCCAATGTCTCATTGACTGGGGCCATTGACTCATATCCATGTTCCCGCATCCCTTGGCATAATTAGTGTGTCGGAAAAGGTGAATGCGGGGTGAATATGGCTTTCCCCAAGATCTTTCCACCTCAGCATGAAGATCTGGGAAAAATGGAAGAACTCATTGGGGCTGGATGGTTATGTTCAGGAAAGAAATCGCTTGTCCAACCGGCTGCAAGAGACCGGCTCTCACACTTCCAGGGCAGACCTAGTCTGTCTGTAGCACAGGACATAACCTACAGAGACTCATCATACACAAGGCAGGTGGGCTGTGCGCATCCAGAGACATCTGGGATCTCAACAGCCCCATACTGCTCATCTTGGCTTGAAGCCAAGAGCGCACTCACTGCTGGATAGTATGATGTAAGAGATAACACATCGTCATTCAGCAGAAAAATAGAGAGAAATGCATACCTTTCTCAAATTCCTTGGCGAGCTCCACCTGTTAACCCCCATGATTTAAGTCTCCTACTCGCCTTAGCTACAGCAGGTCCTGCACCATGAGGCACAGATGATTGTCCCAATTCCCTCAAGAAAAGGGACAAACAACAGCAGAGTTTCTTCAGCAGCCATATCACCCTGCAGCCCAAGACTGGTCACCCACTGAAGCTAAGCAGGGTCGAGCCTGGTCAGAACCCAGATGGGAGACCTGCTGGGAAAACTAGGTTGCTGCTGGAAGAGGTGTTAGTGAGGCCAGCAGGGGGTGCTCACCCTGTGGTCTGTGTGGGTCCTAATTCCCCAGTGTAGTGACGGGGACACTACACTGAAAAAAATCATTAAAAATCATTAAAAATCCCAGGATGTCCTTCGAAAAAGAGTAGGGGTGTAACCCCGGCATCCTGGCCAAATTCACCCATTGGCCTCTGACCATCATGGCTTCCTAACCATCCCCATATCTGCTGATTGGCTTCATCACTGTCTCCTCTCCACCAATAAGCTGGTGTGGTGGGAGTTCTGGCACAATATGGCTGCCGTCGCATTATCCAGATGGATGTTGCACACTGGTGGTGGACGAGGAGATACCCCCTGACAATGTAAAGCGCTTTGAGTGCCCAGAAAAGTGCTATATAAATGTAAGGAGATATTACTAAAATTATTCATAGTGACATTCACAATGCTTGCGATATTTATGTGTTATTTGCCTGGGCAAAGAATATGCAAACTCAGTCCTTGAGGGGGCTGATTGCAATAAGTTGTGTGTCATCAGGTGTCAGATAACACTGACACAGATGGACACACATCCTAAAATGCTTTGCACTTGAGCCAGCCATAACTGCTTTAGACATGCATGAACAAAGAGATGAGACAGTCGCACCAGCAGTGACGTCATGCTGTTGCCAGCCAGTATCAAGTTCACTGTTGCATTTACTTTCGTGTCCTCTTGAGGATGCAGTGTGAATTCCAATTTGGAAAAGAAGTGACACACCACAAATTATTTGAATGGAGGACACAATGAAAAAACTATCAGGAATCATTCTATAATTTTTGATTTATACTCACATTTTGATCTCTTGCATTTCCCATGTATTTCCGACCTCTTTAAGGACTCTAAAGATGAAGAAAATTATCAATCAATTATAATGGAACAGTTTACAAATCTTAATGAGACTTGATTGTCTGCAAACATTTTAATGTACAAAAAGAGTGGGCATGGAGTTTAGTCTACAGATCATAAAAGTGATTTGAATTGTACTGTAACTCAAAAATGACCCTCTTTGTGATACAATTTTCCACAATTTCCCTGTTGAAAAACCAGCATATGCTGGTTAGTATGCTTTGAAGCACGGCAGCTGGTTTGAGCTGGTCCTTAGCTGGTCCTAAGATGGTTCCAAGCAATTAGCTCCTGTTCAGGACCAGATCATAACCAGCAGCCATGCTTCAAAACATACTAACCAGCATATGCTGTTTTTTTCAACAAGGTTGCCAATTGTTAATCCTACATGTTTCAGATGAACTGGAGGTAAAGATTTACCCAGATGCATTTTGTTTGGCTCTTTTGTCATCAGAAATGGCCTTGGGTCATCAGAAATCTTCATGGGATTGCCTCCATTTTCCTCCACCATCTTCTCAATGTTCTCCAGAAGATTCTGCACCTGTGATGGGTTTCCATTCTTCTGTAGATGATAGTGTGGTCGTCTGCAAGTCTGGAGTAAAGCCTTTACTGATCTGTTGTCAGTGTTGTCAAATTCTTTAACACTCACAAACTCCTCATGCATAAAGACGACAATCACATACTCAGATGCACCTGCACCAAAAATGATGTTAATGTGCTTGAGAGCTTCTTTCTCTAGATCTGTAAATATTCGAGGCTTGAGGACCAGAAGAAGGGCATGAGGTCCAGGACCAGACAGATGGAACAATTTCTTCACATCTTGTTCTTCAGGACAGAGAGCAGGATTGAGCAGGTCAGGAGTGTTGAGTACCACCACACGTCTCTTCAAAACAATCCCATCATGCCTCTCAAATGAATTCAGGGAGGACATCGACTCTAAGAAGGCCTTTCGTCCCAGGATTGTGTTTCCACAGGAGACTTTAACATCTGCGTGTGACCCCAGGATCACTATTCTCAGGTCTTCTTTAATCACAGACACTGAAATTAAAGTTTTGTTTAAACTGATTATAATAGCCACTTAGAGACTTATCATTTGAAGGAGATGTGTGTTTTTTCAATATCTGACTTAAAGGCAGTAATGTGAAGCAACAATGCTGAAGCTTTGAATACAGTATTGCTGTTGGCTGGATCTCAAAAGGAAGATCAACTATCCATTATGCAAAGAACCAAAGTAATCAAGAGATCAATTATCAAAGTAATAAAAAAAATCAAAATATTCCAATATACTCCCTTTAATCAAGAATGTAATTATAGTTGTTCTTATTCAAGGGCAAAACCATTATTAAAAGTGAGAGCCTTTGAAGTTTTAATAATGAGAAACATCAGTTCATTTAATTTAATATTCCATATTTTCTATAGCATCTATTATTTATTTTAAATGTAAAACTCACTGCTCGGAGGTTCATATATGCTTCTTCTTCTATTTAACTGATATTCCCCTGTTACAAAAGAATAAACATTAAGTTAAAATCATTTAAAAATAATGTTGGTTAAATGTACAGAAATGTCTTTCTGTAATGTGCTGTAAGTAATTTCATCTCTGAATACAATGCTATTTAGAATCCACATGCCTTATGTGTTCAAAGAACTGCATTATTTCATAGAATTGACAAAAGTCTCACCAGGTTGTCTGGATGATCCGCTCCAGTCAGCCATCTTCACACAAATGTGAATGTTGTACACTGAACCACTTCAGAAAGTAAGAAACAAAATGTGTTGCAGCCGTCCTTGCATTAATGTATGTGTGTTATATCAAATGTTTTGTATTATTAACTCAGAAACTGGTTGAACTTGATGTTTGTTTCACATTCCATACAACTCCCTGCATTATGATACTACCAGAGTGATCTGTCAAAGGACTGGCCGTGTCTCATTTGAATGTCATGGGGAAATGCATTGCTTTTTACTTTGCTGGGTGTTACTTGCCTGACGACAGAGTGTCACTCTGTTCAAATACTTTCTTCATAACTCTGACACCACATGCCAGTTGTCTAAATTTGCATTTGACCTTCCACATTCGCAGCAGCCCTCTTAACTCTCCCTCTGACAGTCTGGCATTCAGTGTGGGACATGATCAGACAAACATCACCTGGAAAAGTGCAATATGGAGAGAAGTGTGATATAAAAAGCTGCTTTGAAGCTGAGATTGAAATGTTATTATTACCACAAACCTTCACATAGGATTATTTCAGTAATTCCCCATATGTGTCAGGGTGAAATTACACAGCAAACTTCAGTGGGCCAGAGAGTCAGGTCAAAAATGTTCTGTTACTAATGAACTATGTATTAATGTCACTAATGTAACCTCGGTTTCCTGAGATAAGGGAAAAAGCATTGCGTTAATTCTCTAATGGGGAAACTCCTGTTTACTCTCGCATGCAGCCTTATAACACGGCAGGCTATGCAATGCTTCTTCCCTTGTCTCAGGGAACCGAGGTTATGTTAGTAACCAGAGCGTTCCCTATTGAACGGTCTCTCTTGATGCGTTGCAACACATATGGGGAACGCATCCAATAGTACCATGCTACTAAGCAAGTGCAGAACTAAACCACACTGCGAGCCCAGCCCTGGAGTACCCATAATGAGGGCTCATAAGAAGCATGTGCCAATTATGAGATCCAAGCCAACAGGCTGGGGTCTACATAACAAGAAAGACCTTCCTTCGAGCTAGGAACAGCCAGAAGGGTGATAACTTATGGAGCTTTTCCACTGCATCGTACTGCACGGTACGGCTCAGTACGGTTCACTTTTGGGGGGTTTTCCACTCGGTACAGTATCTGGTACCTGGTCCTTTTTTTAGTACCACCTCGGTTGGGGTTCCAAGTGAACCGTACCGTTACCAAAACGTGACGTGTAAACTCTGCTGATCACGGATTGGCCGGAGAGAATCGTCACTACCTGCGTCACTGAACTTGCGACACAAACACAAAAGAACCACTAGATCTAAATCAGCACAGCCAGCGAAGGATCGAATGCAACTGTTTTGAACGAGCGCATCTTTTTTTAACAACCAAAAAGTTTTGTTGTCTCTTGAGGAAGAACAGACGTTGCTCTCGTTGATAGCAGAGGAGCGGATCCAGAGAGAGCTTGATGGGACGACTCGGAATGAAAAAGTTTTTTTAGGAGTCGTGGTAGTAGAGGCGGCGCAACTAACGACATGTGAATAATCCCGCCCACTCTAAAGCGGTACTGAACTGCAGTGGAAACCCAAACCGTGCCGAGCCGAACCGTGCCGTGCCATACTGAGCCGAGCCGAGCCGTACCACGCAGTGGAAAAGCGCCATTAGTTCCAGAAGTAGGGTAGTCTTAAGTGACAGGGGCCGTAAGTCGGCTGACTATAGTGGCTCAAAGGGAGGCCCTCATAGGGCCATAATGACTATGGATAAGTTTCATGTCGGCACAGTGTGAGGACGAGGTGGGTTTAGCCTCCAAGCTCCCCTCAAGAACTTAGCGTCCAGGTTGTTTTTGCCGACTGACTGGCCAGCCAGAAGAGTGTGATTCACCGCAATGGCTGCCACATAGACTTTGAGTATGAAAGGAGTGCGCCCCTTATACAGCAGCTCTTGCAGAAAGGTTTACACGGATGACATGTCACAAGAGGATGGGTCTAGGATATTCATCAAGACATGCATTTTGATGTAACTTTGTCTGCATTTGTTTAGCCAAGCACAAAAAAAGCTGAAGAGAACTTAATTGAGGATTTGCGTGCTGTCTGATGCAGCTGTCTGTGTGCGCACTGCACTGCGCGCAGAAAACTTCTGGCGTCATCTTCTCACAGCATCTTTTATGCTCACCTTGTGCCTTCAGACAGTCCTAATATCAGTCCTGGCAGGTGAGTTTGAACGAGAAAGCACGTGTTGATGGTAATGCATAGACTGACATTACGTGAAAATGTGGACAGTGCCAAAATAAGGTGCCTATTTATACTACATGTTTCGATATTTTAAGTGTGGCATTGATAAATCGTATCATTACACATTTGATTGATGTGAAGATGTTATAATTTTTTTTTTTTTTTATAAACTTTGAAAACATCCTGACACTTCGAGGCCACCATTGTTGTTTGTGTGGCAGTACATCCTGCGTGATGACATCAAACGGTTGGCACCCATTCTCTTGATGCTACAGCGCGATAAACATCTTTCCATCTGAACCCGAGCGTAACAAACAAGGAGGATAACATAGGAAATAATACTCAAAATGTACATTAAAACGAAGACAATCAGGAAGGTAAGGAGGTGAGAGTGCGCAAAATCAATGGTGTCTGTGCAGCAGGTGCTAGTCTATGCCAACTGAGAGAAGAGGGAGGGAGCGTGTTTGTTGTTAAGAGCTCTACCTTCTGTCCAGGGGTGTGTCACTGTCTCTGTCTCTGTCACTCTTCGTTTAGTCAGTGTACACGATGTATTATAACATACATCATTCTGCAAACACAACCCTCTTTTGAGCCAGTGCCCCTGACTGCCCCCCCCCATTTAAAATGCTCTAGACACGCCCCTGCTTCTGTCAGCAGCTGCTCAAGATTAATGTTGTGTATGGGGTTTACTAGAATAAGTTTACATCTTTTCCCACTCATTTCTTCTCCTCTTATCACTAGGAAAGCTGTGAAGACTTGCATCACTTCTTGTGTTTCATTTTGACTGGAAACTACAGCAAAAAGCATAGCAGCGTGGCACTGAACCGATACCTTTTCTACTGTTGGGGCTGGAACTATTTTATGTCATGGTGTTGTTGCACTTGTAGAGCAATGGCGGCCTCTGTAGTTTAAATGTGTATTGCACATTGAGGTTATGAAAATATTTCTAATAACAGGTTTTAAGGCACACAAGTCTTGATAGTCAGGGTTCCCTTTGACAGAGAGTGACACACCTGTCAAGTCAAGTCACCTTTATTTATACAGCACTTTTAACAATACAGATCATGCATCTCTCAACGTAATGATTCTGGAAATGGGTGAGTGAATCAAAGGCTTGAACTGAGTTTTACTGAATCACATGAACAATTATGAGCTGAAACAGACAGATGATGTGTTAATGTTCATATAAATCTGCACCTGCTGTAAATGAATCTGTATCCCGCAGGGATCTGATGAAGGTCGGATCTGATGCTCCTGATTCAGTCGACTCCAGGTCCAGGAGATGATGACTATATGATGGTTTGAATCAAACTCATTGGTCATTCTCATATCTACTCATACTGAATGAGTGGAGCCATGCTGTTCCTTTGCAACAAAGAGCAAAGACACTTTCCTGTTGCTTCATCATCTCATTTTTCAGCATGGAAGAAGCTCTCGAGGAACTCCCTCTTTTTGTTTCATACTATATTATTTTGGCCAGAAGATAACTGAGCAACTGAGTCTGGTTTCTCTGTTTTGTTTTGGTTTTCTCCATTTCTGTCACCGATGAAGTTTTGGTTCCTTGCCACTGTCACCTTTGGCTTGCTTAGTTGGGGACGCTTAATTTCTGTCAATATTGTCGACTTGATTGTACAGACACTATTTGAAGCTGAATTGAGCTGAACAATGACATCATTGAATCAATGATGAACTGACTTTAACTTGAAATCTGACTGTTTGCTATTGTTCTCTTTTGACACTGTAAAGCTGCTTTAACACAATCTCTATTGAATGAAGCACTATAGAAATAAAGGTGACGACTTGATTTCTGATCAAGGTTGAGGACCAGATGTTGACACACCAGTGAAGCCACACACTGAGAAAATTTAAAAAATCAAGTACTATTGTACTTTTACTTTAATAAAATTGAAAAGGAGAGTTTACATTTTACTGACGTATTTACTCAAGCACTTTACCAACCCATAATCTTAAAATCAAGCAGAAACAAATCCCCTTCTTCTTTTCTGTATTTCATCTCTGCTCTTGCTTGTGTTCTATAGTCTTGTATCATGTACTATGAATATTGTTTCTTTGATGATGAATTGCTTATGTTTTTAGTATTATTAATTAGCAAGTCACTTTCGATAACTGTCTTTAGACTGTATTTCTACTCTAAGCATTTAAAGTGCTTACACTACTCGGTATAAACCCTTTTCTGTTATAAACCACGTGCTGCTTTTTGATATTATAAATCATTTCAAATATACATTGAGATTGTTTTTATGTTTTGAATTGTATTTGTTCTCTAGAAACCATGATTAATCAAGCTTAACTACACGCTAAACTCTGAAACTCTGAACAGTGTAAACAGACGCTCTTGTACCGTGATGTGTTTCAGGCCCGTCTGACTCCAGACATGTCACAACAAGCCCAGGAACCCCTGCATTTGTTTTAAAGCCCTCAGTAAATGTTCCAGACTGTGGGACTGTCAGCCGGCAGATTTCATTAAACCGTTATTGATAAAAAGAGCTGATAAGGTAATAATAAAGATGTTCAGCAAAAGTGATAACGTGTTTATATGCACCCTTTACAATTCGCCCTTGTAGATGTGTAGTTTTTAGGTAAAATGGAAAATTGAATAAAATGCAATAAAAAGAAATGGACAAAGGCATCCAGATGCTATACTATAGATTAAGTATAGATGATTGAATGTTTGTTTGCACCCCTCACAGTCCTCATGCCACCCCCAAAATCATTTTCTAGATCCTCCCATTTTATTCACAATAATACCATATGTTCCCTTTTATTTTACACTGGTTCTGGT